GAGGGGGCTCGGCTCGCCGCGGACGCGCCGGGGAGAGAAAGCGGCGGCAGGGAGGGAACAGCCTGGGGAACTGCGGATAGAGATACTGGGAGGAATGGGAGTGGGGCGGGGGGCGGTGGGGGTAGGCTGCGTCAGCGAATGGTGTGGACAGCGCATAAACGTGAATGGAGTGAATGATAAGGCAAGGAATGAATGTCAGTGGTGGGCAGCCACATTCAGGGTTGGGAGAAATCCTGTGTTTCCCAACAGTCTCTGCGCGCAAGAAATTCCCAGGAACCTTGTGAAAAGCAGATTCTCAGGCCCGGCCCAGGGGATGTGGAAGGCCTGGAGTGGGGCCCTAGAATCTGCCTTCCCCGCCCCGCCCCGCCCCCCCCCCAAAAAAAAAAAAGAAAGAAAGAAAGAAAAGGGCCTCGCTGTCGCCCAGGCTGGAGAGCAATGGTGCCATCATAGCTCACTGTGCCCTCAAACTCCTGGGCTCAAGCAATCCTCCCGCCTCAGCCTCCCGAATAGCTGGGACCACAGGCTGCACCACTACACCTGGCTAATTTTTTAATTTTTTGTAGAGAGGAGGGTCTCACTATGTTGCCCAGGCTAGTCTTGAACACCTAGGTTCAAGCCATCCTCCTACCTCAGCCTCCCAGTGTTCGATTACAGGAGTGGGTCACCACACCCAGCCTCATCTGCCTTTTAAGGGGTGATGCTGCTGCAGTCACAGCTTCAGAACTACAATGAGATCTGCGTGCATCGCCATGCCAGGCACTTATTAAACACAAAATTATTAGTAGTATTAATATTATGATTGACAGTAATAGTAGTGTTTCTTGATATGGAAGTCTTCCTGGGTAACTCCCCGGAAAGAAAACTTATTACCTGAGGGTCTTTCCTGGCCCAGGACACAGTGACTCTCCTCTCCTGTGTGCCCTCTCCCTGTCCTGAACCCGCACCCACGGGCAGAGGTCTGAGCATCAAGATGCCAAAGCCACTGGTCCTGCCCTTTGCCTCGCGCCATGGGCAATAGGTACATGTACCCCGCCCCTGGTGACTCCAAAGTGGGCCCCTGGGCCACAAGCCCCTGACACATTTTCCCCACTGCTGGTCTCCATGGGCGGAGGCGGAGGCAGGAGCTGCCTCATCTCTGATCCTGGGCCTGGGTTCCAGGATTTCTGCCCTCCGCCCCCACCCCAATTCCCTAAGCTGACCCCACAAGAGGCCTGCCAGGTGGGTGTGCAGGGAGAGTGCTTTCTCCTATGCCATCTCTCTCTTTTTTTTTTTTTTTTTGAGATGGAGTTTCCCTCTTGTTGCCCAGGCTGGAGTGCAATGGTGCGATCTCTGCTCACTGCAACCCCTGCCTCCTGGGTTCCTGTAATTCTCTTGCCTCAGCTTCCCAAGTAGTGAGATTACAGCTGCCTACCACCAACCCGGGTAATGTCTGTATTTTGTATTTTTAGTAGAGAGGGGGTTTCACCATGTTGGCCACGCTGCTCTCCAACTCTTGACCTCAGGTGATCCACCCACCTTCACCTCCCAAAGAGCTGGGATTATAGGCATGAGCCACTGCACCCAGCCTCTACTATGCCATCTTTGGGAAC